ACAAATGTAGCATTGGTGACGTATCGGGGAAATGTCCCTTTTTTAAAAGGGGCATTTACAAATAAATGATGGAAGTGCATAGAACCGGATGACTCGGAGATCAGTGTCTCAGCCAGCACAGCTGAGAGCCTGGGTTTGATTCCAGGTTTCACCCGCCTGTGATTAAACCGGGTTCTCAAGTGAAGGGAGTTAACGACAAATTTTATATTTATGTGATTTAACCCGAACAAAAACCTTCATGAATAATAATATTGGTCGCGAAAGCCTCTTACTACTGCGACGTGTTAAATTCCCGAACCATCTTGGATGGGTAAGTCTATTTGTAAGCCTCAAATGAGTCACCCGGAATAGCTTCCGAGATCTCTCCGCATTGTAAGAAGGCACTGTGGTGGGGTTGGACCTGGGTTACGTGTGCAGTGCAATATCGCTGGCTGCTGTCTAAAAAGTGTAACTACAATGTACGGCAGTACACACGTCAAGACACGACAGGGTCCAGAAGGGGGGCGTGGTCAGGGCGGATCAAGGCCACGCCGGGAGCTCAGGGCTGTTGCCCTAAGTGGGTCCCCTTGCTGTGCTGTTGTCTCGTCACCGTCGTCGCCACCGTCTTCTTCACCATCGCTAGACAACCTGACAACTGTTCTTGCTAGTTAGGTGCCGCCGACGATAGACGGCTGTGTGTGTCTATAAAAAATATATATATAGTGTGCACACACGGTGTAGTCTTCACCGACTGCGTCACTACACGCGCTTGGATAGTGAGTGACCACAATGGGCGAGAGACAGGTGGTATAGGCATGGGCCAGATCAGCTCAATAACAACGGTAGGAGGCTGCTAGACTTTTGTACAGCTCATGGGCTTGTAATTACCAACACGCCGTTCCGGTCATCGACGCATCACGGATGCATGCCGGGTCCAAGCAAGAACATCTGCTGGACTATATAGTGACGTACTCTTTGGTTCTTTCGGTAAAGTCACGTAGGTATAAAATAAAATAAATTAAATCACGACGTTTCGGGCGCAACACAAGCGTCCGTCATCAGGTGGGAAAACCACAGCAAGAAAGAATTGCTGAAGTGGGCAAAAGAGCTGTTGTAACAAGAGGTTATATAGGTAAGAGAGGGGGGAGGAGCCAGGGAGGAGAGATAGAGAGGGGGGTGTGGGGTAGGGGGAGTGGAGTGCTGCCAAGTGGAGTGCAGCTAGAAGGGATGGAATGGCGAGCAGAGACAAAATTCCGGGGGGGGGGGGGGGGGGAAGAGAGCGGGGCTGGGAGTGGGGAGCTGAAGCAACAGGAGATGCGGATATGAAGGCAACACCATAAAGCATTTAAGCTTTTACCTGGTTAATAACATCCTTCCAATGATTGCTCAACTTGTATCCATCTTCTCGGTTGAAGTTATGTCTATGTTTAGATATCTAGATGGCTTTATGAACAAACCTTTGATAGGAGCCCGAAGGTTTTACCGAAAGAACCAAAGAGTATGGATCCGTGCGGTCACAAAATCTTCAAATATAGATGATATAGTGACGGAACAGCGGATGCGGGCCCATGTCCTTGAAACCAGTACCTACCGTGGAGCTGATCTGCCGACTGACCATCGACTTATTATCTGTAAGATGCGCCTGCCAGTCTTTCAATCCGCTAGTGGGTGTACACCCATTCAAACATACAGTGGCCTGGTCTCAGCTAGCTGATGAAAGTTGCAAGTGAGAATTACATCATCGTTTGCAGCTGGGGTTGGCATCGTCCCCCACTCCACCTGATGCCGAGTTGAAATGGGCGAGGTTTAGGACTGTGGCTCATGCAGCTGTAATGGCTGCTTTGGGTACGCGGTCCAAACCTCCCCAGAGACCCTGGCTGACAGAGGAGGTGTTCAAGCTGGCTGAGAAAAAGCGACAGGCCCACTCACAGCGTCTAGAGTATCCCACGTCAGAGAATGAGGAGGCTTACCGAAGTCTTCGCTCGAAGGTTTGGAAAACCGTGAGGCTCTGCAAGGATGGGTGGTGGTCGCGGGTTGCTGAGGAGATGGAATCTGCCTGAGTGGCCCGTGATCATAAATCACTCTTTAACTCCATCAAAAAAGTAACTTGCAGCGCCACACCTATCACCACCATTAGGGGAAAGAACGGTGATCCAATCTCCGACCCCCAGGAACAGGTTTGCAGATTTGCTGAGCATTTCTGTGAGCTCTTGGGGGAGGGGAAATCCTTCAGCCTGGAAAACATCGTGGTGCAAAGTGTGGATGACCCTGCTAAGGCTGCGGTGCCTCAAATATTGGAGGAAGTCACCCCCTGTGAGTGGCTAGCTGAGGCGCCATCTGTTGAGGAAGTACAGAAGGCGATCCAGAGTCTGAGACTAGGAAAGGCACCGGGCAGAGATGATCTCCAAAGCGAAATGCTGAGGGAGGGTGGGGTTTGTGCACCGACTGCCTTACATGCCATAAAAATAACAGTCTGGACCAGTGGACGGGTTCCACAGAATCTTTAAGAAGGGGGACCATACAGACTGTAACAACTACAGGGTCATCTCACTCCTCAGTGTGACGGGAAAGGTCCTGGCAAGGATGATTCAATATCGCCTTGCCAGGCACGCTGAGGAGAGGCTTGCGGAGCCCCAATGCGGTTTCAGGAAAGGGCGGTCCTGCACAGATGCCATATTTTCTGTCCGTCTTCTACAGCGGAGGTGTAGAGAATTCCAACAAGACCTACATCTCTGCTTTATTGACCTGGTCAAAGCCGATGATACCATTAGTAGGCCTGGCCTCTGTGTTGTTCTTCGTGCTTTCGGATTCCCTGACTCTCTGCTCACAATCGTTAAGGACCTTCATGATGGTGAGCGGGCCCGGGTAAAACTACGTGGCCAGGAGTTGGAGCCATTCCCTGTTCACCTTGGGGTACGACAGGGATGTCCTCTGTTTCCCACATTATTTAACACCTATTTTGACCACGTAGAAGGTGACGCCTTCGATAGCTGTACCGGAGGAATTTCCATTTGGTACAGATACCATGGGAGGCTGATCGATGCCCGGCTGCGGTCAAAGGATGGTTCCCTATAGGTCAACCACGTTATGTATTGCTGATGATCTGGTGATTGCTGCTCACTCAGAGGATGAGTTGGAGGCGCTGCTGCTGAACCTGGAGCATGCCACTAAGAGATGGGGCTTTACCATCAGCCCCACCAAAACTAATCACCTGCCTGGATATTTTGTACCATCAGATACTCCACCCCCACAACTCCCAATTGGTGATGGGGCAGTTGTGGAGAAAGTGGAGAGTTTCCCATACTTGGGCAGTGTGCTCATGCCTGGCTCCAGTTTGACAGCAGAGGTCTCACTCTTTTAATCTGTTGCGTAACGCTGTGTGGAAGCTACCTGGTCTGTCGCTCCGCACTAAGCTTCAGGTCTTCTCGGCCACCGTCATGCCCTCCCTTCTCTACGCTTGCGAAACGTGGACCCCCCAATGGAACATCTTCGCCGGTTAGAAACATTTAGCCCGGCCTGCCTACGATCCATCCTGAGTTTAACCAGGCTGGATTGTGTGAGGAGCTCACACATCTTTGAACGATCTGGACAAAGTCCTATCGGTGAGCTCCTCTGGCAGGCAAGGCTTCGTTGGCTGGGTCATGTAGCTCACATGCCCAGCCACAGCATGCCTAAACAGCTTTTGTTCGGCCGGATAGAGGGGGCTAAACGGGCGCGGCACCAGATAGAGAAGAGATGGAGTGATGTGATACAGGAGGACGTGGAGCTGAGTGGACTTGCCGATGACTGGAACCAGCGTTGTCAAGATCGGCCTCTGTGGAGGAGGCTCGTGAAGGACGCTACTGAGCAGTTGGAGGCAGTCGCCCTCCAACAACAACGGAGGGCGGAGGAGCGCCGCTCACAACACCAAGCAGAGCGCCGGGCGGCTAAAACATAGCAAGTTGGCACAGTAGGGGGCACAGGTGGTGCATTGGCACTCATCTCAGTCAGTCGATCCATGACACTTGGGTCTGCCCCGTGACCTCCTGCTGGGGGGCGTTCCACACTTCACCTGGCCGTTCCGTGCACGTAGCCTGGCACAAGCGCCGTGGTGATGTCACCGCCACTTAGTGGCGAATGGCGGTTGTTGTTGTTGTTATTATAGGCACTGTGGACAGTGCCCTGAGAACGATTGCTTAAGGGCGCTTGATACATTTAACTTATAATGACATCACATTCAATGAATCTCCTACACCCATTAACCAACTGGCACGGACCAGCCTGGTCCAGGGATAGAGCGTTGCCCCCTTGCACGCCTGTGTTTTTTCCGGTTTCCTCCCTGCTTGTATAAACACTCAACATTTATTGGCTGACAGCATCTTGAAATAAAAAAAAAACGCCAAAACGAGGAGTTCCCCCATAAAGCCTGGAACAGACTGCAGAGGCAAGTGCTGTTAGCGAGTAGCAGCTACAGTATGAAGGTGCCGGCACACGAGGGGGTGGGGTTGCCAGCCCCACGCCCCGACCGCCTTTGTCTCCCCAGTGGAGATGTTTGACGCACCACACCGAGTACTCATTTTAGTCCGAGTCGACCTAGACGAGGCGCATGACTGGTTCAGATAATAATCGTCGCTGGTGTTGTCCGTGAGCCGGAATCGAACTCGGGTCGCCGCTTAACACTACCGCCAGGTTCTTAGCGCAACGCGCTAACCGCTAACCGCTACACCACCGCTCCCCCTCCCACCACCACAACACACGTACACACACGTACACACACGTGCACGCGTACACACACGTGCACGCGTACACACGATACAAACGAGTGCAAGTTTCGGTTGCTATCGTGAAACCATGAAGCGAGACAAAACCGTGTCAGAGAGGGCTTGCCCCCCCCCCCCGCCTTCTCTCCCCCCCCCCCCTTCCAACTTCACCACTCCCTCCGACTCTCCCACACTCTCGCTCGCTCGCTCACCTCCCTCCCCGAACACGGCCAATCCTACAGCGGGACCCCCCCCCCCCTAGCCCGCCCGCCACCTCCAAGCAAACACGACTCGGCTGCCAGTCGACCTAAGAGCACTCACGCACGGAGGCCCACCGCCGTCCCGATATCGCTCTCAGCGTGCGCTGGGGTTCTGGCCAAAACAACTGTCGTCAATTTAGGGTTTTAAACCCCCCCAAAAAATGTGCTCTTAATTGTCGACGTTAATTGGTTTGAGTACGATCGGTCCTGTACGTGGCTTCACCTATTTACGGAACCTCTTGTATATTATAACGACGATAAACGACGAACGACATCGTCGGAGGAGTGGATGATGTCGCGTTGTATGACGAGCCAATTGACTGGACTTGCGCAATGAGTGGCGAGTGAGTGGGATGTGAACGCGCTGAATGAATGAACGAATCAGTGGCCGTTGGTAAGTGAGCAGCGGATGACTGAATGAATGAGTAGAAGCATTCGACCATGCGTGCGCACTCGCCGCCCCTGATGATGCTCATGTTGCTGATGCCCTGGGGGTGGTGGCTTCACGCGGGACACGCGGCCGTCACGAGGGGACACGGGACGGCTCGCATCGGGGCGGAGACGTGGGACGAGCCCCACGGCAGAGCGGACGAATCTCGCTCGGGAGACGACGGCGCGAAGGCACGGGACGGGTCACGCGCGGGCACGACGGAGACGCGCGGTGATGCCGCTGATGCCGGTGGTGGTGGTGCTGGTGGTGGTGGTGCTGGTGGTTCTCTTAGCGGAGACGACGACGTCGCGGAGACGCACGGTGGCTCACGCGGAGCGGACGTCTCGCACAGAGGGGACGACCCGGAGGCACGGGCTGCTGTCTCGCGCCGAGGGGACAGCATCGAGAGCGGGGATGAGTCTCACCCGGACACCGCCCGGACGCGCGGTGGCTCACGCGGAGAAGACAGAATTGGCACACGGGACGGCGCGCACGCGCGACGCGTACGGGGGGGCATGGCAGGACACGTCCCGTACAGGGGGCACCTCTCTCTCGACAGAGCCCACGGCGCGCACAGGGGCCACGGCAACGACACGTCGCCCGTGGTGGTGCTGCCGGAGTACATGGTGTCTCTGTACCGCACTCTGTCCGTGGCCGAGAACCTGGGACTCAACGGGAGCCTCTCTCGCAAGGGCACGGACGCGAACACGGTGACCGGATTCGTGGACAAGGGGCACGGTGAGGGGGACACATCGTCACCATCATCCTCATCATCGTCACCATTATCGTCATCCTCACCACCAGTCATCATCACTATCATCATCGTCATCACTATAACTTCAAGAAGCATCATCACCATCATTGTGTTCATCATCGCCACCTCCATCATCATCCCACTCACCTGTGTGTATGTCTCTCTCTGTCGGGTATGATGTGTAAGGCGCGTGTGTTGGCTATATGTGTGTACTGCATAGGCTATGCGTGTGTGCATGCTATATGTGTGTGTGTTAGTTATGCTTGTGTGTAATCTGTGTGTATGTGTAGGCTGTGTGTATAGGCTATGTGTGTGTAGGCTATGTGTGTGTAGGCTATGTGCGTAGGTTATGTATGTGTAGGTTACGTGTGGGCTATGTGTGTGTGTGTAGGCTATGTGTGTGTAGCTTATGTGTGGGCTGTGTGTAGGCTCTGTGTGTGTAGGCTATGTGTGTGTAGGCTATGTGTATGTGTGCAGGCTACGTGTGTGTGTAGGCTGTGTGTGTAGGCTATGTGTGTGTAGGCTATGTGTGTGTAGGCTATGTGTGTGTGTAGGCTATGTAAACTGTGACTGGCAAGGAACACGATGACGGAATCGCCAATACACGGTCATCACGACCATCTCCATCCCACACGCGAGTGTGGGATGGAGATGGCCACCCACCCCCCTCGTGTGCCGTGCCGCCCTTCACAGATGTTCCTCGCTAACAGCACTTGCCCCAACAGTCTGTTAAGGCTACACGGGGGATCTTTGTTTGTGTGTGTGTGCGTCTGGAGAGCGGTAGTGTAGCGATCAGGGCACTGCGTCCTCTGCATGCACCAAATCACTCAAAGGCAAGACCTTCATTTAGGACTTGCTTTCTATCACAGACGTTCCACCTGCCTCAGCCGATTCTTACCATCAACGTGTACATTTAACACGCGACCAAACATTACGCAAGGGTCATAATTGATTGGTTTGCGTGAGATGGCGTGAGTAAAACGTGTGTCGTACAGCCTCCTCCATCCGACAAGGCCAATTCATAAAGTTGCCACGTGATGAACAAACGTGGCCGACTGATTAAACTAAACACATTCTTTGACATCTATTTTACCAGGCAAGGCCCACTGAGCGATGTAGTTTGTTTTTCAGAAGCGACCTGGCCACAAATGGCTCGACGAAGTGGCTTATCACGTGGACATTTATAGCAGCCCAATACTGTGAACGGGTGTTTGCTAAATGTGGAGGGAAAAACTGGAGGACCCGGAGAAAAATTCACGCGACCACGGGGAGAGAGACACGCAAACTCCAAATACACAGCAGCAGGTATCGTCAGAGCCGGGATCGAACCCACGACCTCCTGTATACCAGGCGAGGTAGTTGACATCTCCTAGCCACCGTGATGATGATGATGATGAGAGAGAGAGACACGCAAACTCCAAATACACAGCAGCAGGCATCGTCAAGCCCGGGATCGAACCCACGACCTCCTGTATACCAGGCGAGGTAGTTGACATCTCCTAGCCACCGTGATGATGATGAGAGAGAGAGACACGCAACTCCAAATACACAGCAGGCATCGTCAGGGCCGGGATCGAACCCACGACCTCCTGTATACCAGGCGAGGTAGTTAACATCTGGCCACCGTGGCGCTTAAGTAGCACTGCCGGTAGTTCTAGATTTGAAGCTTTCGTGACTGCAAGGATCCATACTCTTTGGTTCTATTCGGTAAAGTCACGTAAAAAACAACACAAAATAAAAAAAATTCACGACGTTTCGGCCACAACACAAGTGCCCTTCATCAGGTGAAGGGACCAGACTGTCTAGAGGACAGCGCTGGAGTGTTTTTTTACGTGACTTTACCGAATAGAACCAAAGAGTATACTGCCGGTAGTGTTGTTGTTGCTGATGTTGGAGATGGATCCAGGCACAACATTTAACCATCGCGATGCTTCAGAGACAGTTGCCCGGCCATTTTACAAGAGGGAGACCCGTGGCGGTGCGAGAGCGCAGCAGTGATAACAAACACCGCCCCCCCCCTTCCCCTCCTATTAGCACGGTTGGCTAGTACGGTGCGAAATAAGTTCAACATACATACATTATGCAATAACGTCTGACACACGTGGTTGCTTTATTATTTTTTACTAAGAACCTTTATTCGGACACAACACTCTTCCTAGGCCCGGACTTGGGATCTCGATATGCGAACTTTGTCTCCTCTTCAAGCGTCCCCTTCCGCTGTATCCTCTCCTATATCCCTCGAGCCACCCTTTCTGGAAGGTTCGCTCACCCCACAATTCCTCTCGGCCAATCCCCTTCCTCCTCCTCCTCTTCCAACGATTGCCAACCGTCTCCCCCGTCAGTCAACCCTCGTTTTACCGCCTTCTACGTTTTAATTTCTCCCCCCAATCGTTTCAATTCTCTGTTCTTAGCCAATATTCTTTGAGGTCTCCCTGCACCAATCAGAGGCCTTGACACCCCTTACCGATTGTCCGTTTGCACGTGCCAGGCAAGTCGGTCTATTGTCACGGTCATTACGAATGCAACATAAGAGACGTACGTACGACATTCATGAATGTTGCCGAGAACGAGTACAGCCAGGGGGTGCTCAAGGAACGGTGTCACAAAAAACGAAGGAGTTCATCTTCTTGGTTATTTCGGTAAAGTCACGTAGAATGAGAATAAAACAAAATAAGACAATAAAATTCTCACGACGTTTCGGCCACAACACAATTGTTCCTTCACCTGAAGAAGGCTGCTTGTGTTGTGGCCGAAACGTCGTGAGAATTGTATTGTCTTATTTTATTTTATTGTTTTATTCTCATTCTACATGATTTTACCGAAAGAATCAAGAAGATGAATCCTTGCAGTCACGAAAGCTTTAAATCGAAACGAAGGAGTTATTTAACAGTCGTAAACGAAACGAACGCCAATATTACAACAAAAACAGCAGCAACTAAAATGGGAGTCAAACGTAACACGAGAGCTAGATGCGCCAGAAACAAAAAGTTCGGTACAGCCGCAAGAAAGTTACATCTGTTAGACCCATCAGTGACGTGAACACACGCGAATCGAACGGAGACATTGCAAACCGCGTGTGTCAGAAACAAAAAGTTCGGTAAAGGCACAAGAAAGTTACATCTGTTAGACCCAACAGTGACATGAGCACACGCGAATCGAATGGAGGCATTGCGAACCGCGTGTGTCAGAGAAAACAATTAGGTACAGGTGCAAGTAAGCGGTGTGTCGCGACAGTTTAATGACAAGATATTAATTTCTTGTTCGATATTTTCTCTCTCGTAATATTGCTATATATATGATGGTTTGGAGTCAGGATTATCAGCATAAGGCACTACAACTAGATCACAATGCATGCCAATATCCCAAATAACCCCTTTATTGATGTTATCCTACATATATAATGCAATGAACATGTTTATGGATTATCGTGGGGCGGGATGGATGTGAAATTGATAAACAAAACAAATTCCCGGAACCATATTCCGGGCTGTTCCGGCTGAAATTAAACGCCGTCAGTGGCCCAAAGAGTGACCGACGTAGATAGTAAGAAGAAGGTTTCACATAGAAGAAGACGATCTGATGGTGATGATGGTGATGATGGTGATGATGATGATGGTGATGATGGTGATGATGGTGATGATGATGGTGATGATGATGGTGGTGATGATGGTGATGATGGTGATGATGGTCATGGTGATGATGGTGTTGATGATGGTGATGATGATGGTGATGATGATGGTGGTGATGATGGTGGTGATGATGGTGATGATGGTGATGATGGTGATGATGATGGTGATGATGATGGTGATGATGGTGATGATGATGGTGATGATGATGGTGATGATGATGGTAATGATGGTGATGATGGTGATGATGATGGTGATGATGGTGATAATGGTGATGATGATGGTGATAATGGTGATGATGATGGTGATGATGGTGATGATGATGATTTGGGACACCCCATGTATAGCATGGAGAACAACAGGAATATTAAAAGCGTGTTGCTGTTGTTCGGAAAGAAATATAAGCAACCGGAGAGAGAGAGAGGGGAAGAACTCGCAGAGAACGGCTTGACGATGATGGCGACATCACAGGAGATTGGTGCCAGAAATATGTGGCCACTTCTCGAGCTCATTAGCACAAAAGACAGAGAGGAAAGTGGAAACTACAAATAACTAAATGTGGCAGTGGACACCTACTGCGGTTTAACTGCCCGAGGATCGTGATGATGATGATGAGGAGGAATGACGCATCGATTATCAATCGATTAATACCGATTTCTAATTCTCGAAATGCACGCACAGGACGATAAATCACACGTGTTATGGGGATCGATGCGTTGAAAGTTTGGGTAAATTATTACGCCCACGATATGCTGTTACATTTAGGCCAACGGAGTGCACAGCAAAGCTGCACAGATGTGAAATACAACCAAAGATGGTAAAAATAAAAACTTGACAAAAAATTTGACGAAAATTTTACTATAAAAAGACGGAAAATAGATAAAACAATATACAAAAAAATGGACAAAATAGACAAAACATTTACAAAAAATAGACGATTTTTTAAAAAATAGACTAAAAACAGACAAAGTTTATTATGAAAAAATAAACGAAACATTTGGAGAAAAAATAGACAAAAGACAAGAAATAGAAAAAAACACGAAAAAATTAACCTTTTTTTTTTTACAAAAATGACAAAAAATATATATTTTTTCTAAAAAAGTACGAAAATTTTGAGAAAAAATATAAATTACATTTTTTACGAAAAAATAGACGAAAAAATTACAACCCCCCCCCCCCCCCCACCGAAATGTACGAATTGTTAAACGAAATAGCAGTGGCGAACCGCTACAATTGGCTCTTTCACCGGCAGGCGATTGGAATCGCCGCACCGATGTGGGAAAATAAATAACAGTTTGATTTTTAAAGAAAATAGCTTCGTGGAATGTGATCTCAGTGGGGTGATAACCAGACTCAGGTGACTGCCAACAAACACAGTACTACAAACACATTTGTTTTTATAAGTAAGCTTTCAACACCGATGTTGTGATTCACAATGACTTTATTTCGTGTGAGATCGTCTTGTAGTGGGTAATGACATTCATTTGTATTACTGTAAACCCTCCACCACCCGACAGCCAATCAAATAAAGTTGTCACATCACGGCAAATATCAGAACCGGGATATTTATTCATACTGGAGGAATCCGATGAGTTATAAAGCGCGTTCCCACAATAAGTTCTTCACGGTAAATCATACACAAGAGTTGTTCAATGGGTTTTCTATTTTACGTGATTATTTATACACTGGGACGTTAACGGCACGTGAAAACTCGGTAACAATCAAACACAGGCGGCTGGATTGCCCCACACATACTGTATACAACGGCAAAGATCCCCCATATAGCCTTAACAGACTGTAGGGGCAAGTGCTGTTAGCGAGCACCTATGAAGGCCGGCACAGCACACGACTGGGTGGGTGGCCAGCAGCACCACGCCCGGCCGCCTTTGTCTCCCTAGTGGCGACGTTTACACACCGCACCAGGTACTAATTTGAAGCTGAGTAGACCTAGGGGAGGCCCAGGACCGGTTGAGATATTCGTAACTGGCGTTGGCCGTCAACGGGAATCGAACTCGGGTTTCCAGGTTCGTAGCGCAGTGTGCTAGCACCGCTACACTATTGCTCCCCACACATACAAACACGCACGCACGCACGCAACCCATTTTGATCTGAGCGCATTATTTTCTCACAAAAAATGTCCCCACTGGACAAGATGACCGGTTCCTGATTTTTTTCGGAAGCGGTAAATCGAATTCTCGAAAACGGTTACCGGTTTGACCGGCCATTGCTTAGCGACCCTGGTAAATACACACAGTCCACTATCAGCAGCCTTTTGTAACTTTACGAAGTTTCACGGCACCGAAAAAATTGACTATCTCCCCTTTGTCTTAACGTGTATTCTATCCCGTTAGGGAAGACTGCAATATATTTACACAGTATATATGTGTACTACATTGATGGTGGAGTGGTGGCACACAGTGGTTAGCCCACTGCACGATGGAGCGGGCACGTCTGACATCAGTGGCGAATCATATCTGTATCTGCCCCCCCCCTCCTCCCGCTGCCCACCTATGCCAATGCATTAAACATACACTGACCTAGCGTGGTGAAGTTTGGTCAAACAACATTCATGGACCATCGTGACGTGGGTTCAGTGGCCATTCATCCAGTAGTCGGATCTACATCAAATGGCGAATTCGTGTCATTCGCATTGTCACTGAATTTTGGCGGCTCTTAACTCCATCAGCAATTAAATGCTCTGGGTCAACTTTTCTCAACCAAATCCTTTGATTAAACCAGATCGGAGCCCGCTGAGGCCCACTGTGTGTCTCTCTCACGAAGCGTGCCTTGCCGTATCTTAGCCACACTGTTGTACCGTGGTCTTTGCGCTTAATAAGTCAACACCCCGTTGATAATCTCAAGTTGGACTCTATCGGTTACTGGATTCCGGTCCACCCCTAAACCGCATCCACTGCATAAACCGTGGCGGCAGCAGCAGCAGATGCGGTTGCTACCTGATTGTGCACAAATTAAAAATGACAAAATTCTGCAGTAGTCGTGGTGCGACCGCGGTCATCCAGAAGAGACGCCGTGCAGCGTTTCACGACGACGCAACCCCCCGACCCGCAAATGCGCAGGAGACATCGCAGTGACGACGACGACGACGTCGCTGCGATGACGATGCACCGCTCCGCTGCCTCCTGACGCGGTTATCACGGCTCAGGCCACGTGAATGTGAAATTGAAGTCGTTGCCTCGCATCGACATCATCAGCCGTACGAACGAAGAAGGGACACGCTGCTGTATTGACATTGTCAACGTCGTCATCATCAGCCGTGGTCAATCCACTTCTGGATGAATACCTTCTCCAAGCCACCGCCGCCACAGCAACCGCTCACGATCCTGCGATTACGTGACAATCTCCCCAGCACCTGCACGCAAAGTGATTTAATCGTTCCATCTCCCGAGTGGATGTACTTCGGACGCGTTCCATTCCTTGGCTGCCACTCCGTTATTAATCTCGGCCATCGTGACTTTCTCGAGCCGGATGACTTCGTTATTATCCCGCTTTACGTTCTCTAATCCACGTGCTCCTCTTTCTGTCTCACACACAACGGAATCATCATCATCATCATCACAGATTCATACATCCAACACAAATGCAGGAATCCTCCTGAAAACGAATTGAGGCGAAGGAATTGAGGGTTCTGCTGTTGAGCTCTTCACTTTAAAATGTTTCAGCTAACTATTGATGAGTGTTTTTATTATTATTATTATACAAGTGGGAGGAAACCGGAGCACTCGGACAAAACCCCACGCGCACGACGAGGGGGCGGGGGGTGGGGGTAGCAACACTCCGTCTCCGTACCGATGGAAACGGATGGCGATCAGCCCACTTGCTGCAATGCCTTCTGGTGGCGAGCCAGAGTACGGCGCCTCGTCGACGCCCCACGGGGAAGGAAGTTGCGCAACATCAGTGTGTGTGTGTGGTGATGCACCAACCCCTCGCTGTTGCCTCCACTGGGTTACAGGCAGCCACGTGCAGCATAGCCACACATGCCCGCCTTTAGAAGGAGCCCTTCTGAGAGCAGTGGTGGGAGCGAGAAATTGCAGAGGCTGCGCCTTTACCTTCACATTTACCTCCTAGAGTGCGATCACCGTTCCGCAAAGCGTTTTGGTCTCCGTGTGGCTGTACGCTGCTGCCAGGCTGTGTGGTGCAGTGGGGAGCGGTGGCGCCGCGGTTAGCGCGAATTCGATTCCCGCTCACGGCCGCCAACACCGGTGACGATTTATCTGAACCGGTCCTGGGCGTCCCCTAGGTCGACTCAGCCTCAAATGAATACCAGGTGCGCTGCGTACACATCGCCACTGGGGAGACAAAGGCGGCCGGGCGTGGTGCTGGCCATCCACCCCCTCGTGTGCTGTGGCGGAACTTGATAGGTGTTTCCCGCTAACAGCACTTGCCCCAATAGTATTTCCAGGCTATACGGGGGGTCTTTGTCTTTGTGTGTATTCAGTACTTTTTTACGAACAGTTATTTATTCAAATTGCAATGTTCGCATATATCCTCCGATCGTCTCTAGATATGTGCCATGAAGAAGGGCCATTGCCCGAACCGTTCCCCATTATATATGTGTGTGTGTATGTTGTTGTGTTTTGTGAAAGCGCTGTGCCTCTGGATGTGGCTGATCGTGTGCGGTGACGTCCGTGTGTGTGATGCTGTGTTGTGTCACTCTCCCAAAACCACGTACACACGCACAACTACACACACCTACACACACACACCTACACACACACACACATACCCTAACCATTACAAAGTCAAAGATCCCCCATATAGCCTTAACAGACTGTAGGGGCAAGTGCTGTTAGCGAGCACCTATGAAGGCCGGAACGGTACACGAGGGGGTGGGTGGCCAGCACCACGCCCGACCGCCTTTGTCTCCCTAGTGGCGATGTTTACACACCGCACCAGCTACTCATTTGAGGCTGGTTCGACCTAGGGGAGTCCCAGGACCGGTTCAGATAATCGTCACTGGTGTTGGCCGTGAGCGGGAATCAAACCCGCGTCGCCGGGTTCGTAGCGCAGCGCGCTAACCACTACACCACCGCTCCCCCCACCGCCCAGGCGCGCTGGCCCCCGGGCTCACGCAGCGCTACGTCTTCGACGTCTCGGCGCTGTCGGCTCACGACTCGTTGGTGGACGTGGAGCTCCGTCTGCTGCGGCGCCCGCCGGAGGCGTCGCGCCGCGATCTCTCTCGCGGGGGGCTCTACCACCTCAGCGTGTGGGGGTGCGGGGCCGACTCCGCACCCCCACACCGCGGCGACGGCGGTGGGGGGGGAGGCGCCCCCCTCGACTCTCGAACCATCGACGTCCTCGACTGGCAGTACCCGCGCTGGGAGGTGTTCGACGTGAGGAGGTCGCTGCTGGCGGGCCAGGGAGCGTTTGGTGGTGGTGCTGGTGGTGCACATCGATCCGCAACTGAGCTGTGTTTGGAGCTCGAGGCGGTGTCGGACCGATCCTCGGCTCGCGTGGACGTGGCCGAGTTGGGCTTCTCTCGACAGGGACGCGACGCGGAGCGCAGCGCGCTCCTCGTGGTGTTCAGCCGCGGGCTGCGGCGCACGGACAACCTCTTCAGCAAGATCCGCGAGAGGATCAAGCCGTCCAGGAGGCAGCAGCAGCACAACAACAATCGTCAGAAGGACCACCACCACCATCAGCAGCAACAGCATCAACATCATCATCAGCACAGCAACAATCGTCAGCAGCATCTCCGTCACCACCCTCACCACCACCACCACCGCCAGCACGCCACAGACGAGGCGAATGCTCGCGCTCGCCGCGGCAGGAGGATGACCGTCCCCGGTCGCGGTGGTGGCGGTGGTGGTGGCGGTGGTGGTGGTGGTGGCGCGTCTCCCAAGGGCGGCGGCGCGTCTCAGGCCTCGCCCGGCGGGGTCCCGGCGCGTCGCTCCTCCTCCTCTTCGTCCTCCTCGTCCCGCTCGCGCTGCGGTCGCAGGCAGCTGCGGGTGAACTTCAAGGAGCTGGGCTGGGACGACTGGATCATCGCGCCGCTCGACTACGACGCGTACCTGTGCGAGGGCGCGTGTGACTTCCCGCTGCGCTCGCACCTCGAGCCCACCAACCACGCCATCATCCAGACGCTGCTCAACTCGCTCGAGCCCGACGCCACGCCGGCCAGCTGCTGCGTACCCACCAAGCTGAGCCCCATCAGCATCCTGTACATCGACGCGGGCAACAACGTCGTGTACAAGCAGTACGAGGGCATGGTGGTGGAGGCGTGCGGCTGTAGGTAGCCCGGTTCGAGCCGAGCGTGGTGTGGGACGTGATGCGTGAAAAGCCAAAATAATCCGGAGGAGCCGTGAACTTCATGAGCAGGAGGAGGCGCTGGCGATTCGGTGCTCCCTCATTGTTTTCCGAGGTTGCCAATCCCCGCGTCCAACATTTTTGAGAGGACCGCTTTGCTTCTCGTGCTTCGGTTGGGCAGTCCAATTCGGGTGCCCCCCGAGGGCGGTCGCACTGACCGCACCGAACCAAGGTGGTGTTGCCACCTCTCCTGGTTTTGATATTTTTTTGGAGCGTCTTTTCTCTCTCTTTCTCTCTCTCTCTCCGTGATGGAGCAGCCTCTCGCCCTGCGGAAATCCGAAGAGTCGTTGGCCGGCACACGAAAAGCCTCGGTTTATATCGGTTGCGTAATAATGCACCCAGGGATTAATTTATCATCGAATATTTTAGGGGGATCGATAGTCCCCACATCCCCCCCCCCTCCCCCCGGCTATGAACTCCGCGCCCGCCGGAACAGCAGAGTGTGATGGGGCTGGGCGTATTTTCTGGAGCCCAGCGACCGGACCAGCTGTGGATTAATTGAAGCCACCACTCGTGTAGCTATCCCTGCGTGGGGTACCGTGGGACCTTCCCCTTTTGTTGTTGTTGAACCTCGGCAGTGGCAATCCCAGCGCCACGTGGGGTGGCAGAGGAGGCTGGGCACCAGGAGTGGAAACCTGCGACGGTGATGGATCGGTTCGTAGCTTTGGTGGTGGTGGGGTCAAGGTGTGACTGTTGAAAGAAGGTATCCCCGTGCCGCGTTGGTTCACGGGGGTTGTTTGACCATACTTCACCATTCTGGTCAAACTCGGGTTGCTGTGTTCGTAGCACCACCGCGATCGCTATTGCTGTGTGCGAGTGTCTGTGTCTTCCACCCGGATGGCCTCACCTCCAGACAGACGACTCGAGAGGTGGCTGTGGTGTTGCTATGACTGTCTGTCTCCTTCATCATCATCATCAGTCGTCTGTCACGGTCAATCTACCGCTGGACGAAGGACACCCCAAGCCGCCGACGTCACTGCACACGCAATCCCGGCACGTAACAAGCCCCGTTCGCTCTTCTTCGCGGTTCGAATCATGTCGTCGTCGTCGTTATTATTATTACCCTGCAGGGTGCCGCTCCCTCTAAATCCACACCGCTCCTTCCCCCTGTTTCCCAATATAATTCCTGTATTCTTCACGACTCACAAAGCACAAGCATGGCCCATGTATAATACCAGGTGCAATGCAAGCGTGGGGGTGGTGGTTGTGGTTATAGGAGATGGCAGTATTGCGAGTAGGTTCGTAAGGCCATCTGTTGCAGACTGTTTGAGCATTATTGCTTCTTATCCGCGATGAGCTTTCTCCGGGCACTGCGGATTCCTTTCATTTGATAGCAAAACACTCATGATTTTAATAGGCACTGGCTCCACATTCCAGTGGATGCAGCAGGACCCTCTTGAAAACTGCCTCGATGCTCAGTGACACTTTCCTGGATATATAAATGGCATTATTGTACGTACGTATGTGTGTGGAACTTCTTTCGCACCGTACTTAGCCAATCGTGCTAATCGAAGGTGCCATTATTATTATTATTTTACAGAGGAAATTATGTTTTGTGTTGTACTTTTCAAAAAAGTTGAAAGTCAAAGCGTTGTAACAGTCAATACGAATGGCACTAAACTTAAATTTAACAACCCTGACAAGGGCTAACCTCTGCGAACAACCACAAAGTAGTACTCATTTTATATACCGTGGGTTCACTCAGCTCTTGAGGTTATTATGTTGTTAACCAACGCCATATGCCGCGAACATACATAACACTGGGGCACGTGCTGTTAGCGAGCACCTATTAAGTGCTGCAAATGGCATACAAGGAGAGTGTCGTGTTGCCAGAATCGTGGTCAGCTGTAACTGATGTTTACATATGCCACAACATTAATTTAAGGCCGAGTCGGCCTAGGCGAGGCTCAGGATCGGTTTAGATATCACTCTCAGCTGATGTTAGCCGGCGGACAGGAGTCAAACTCAGGTTGCGGTGTGAATAGTGCAGTGTACGGACCACTTGAATTGAAGCAATTTAATTGATCAGATTTGGAGTATTGTAAAACGGAGTGAAACACCGCTCCTTCCTACCTTCCCATCTTTGTCTTTTTTTGTACACAATCCATCGGCCACACACGCGGACCTTATGGGAGTTGCATCGGTTAACTGCAAGCAAGCTCTGAACCGGTTAACTGCAAGCAAGCCCTGAACCGGTTTCGACATTCAGTGGCTCACTAGCAGAGTCAAGGATCATTTTTATTTATAGTTTTTGTTGTTGTTGTCGTTGTCACTTGTTGACCCGCTCCTACTGGACACCTCCGCCTCTACTTGGGTGCCACGGTGGCGAGATGTTAACTCCCTCGCCTGGTATAGAGGAGGTCGTGGGTTCGATCCCTAGCCTGACGCTTGTATATGTGGAGTTTGCACGTTCTTCCTCGTGGTCGTGCGGATTCTTTTTCTCCGGAGCCTCCGGGGTCTCCTTCCACATTTAGAAACACGCGTTTAGAATATTTGGCCGCTATAAATGTCCACACACAGTCAGCCACTTCGATGAGTTATCTTTTGCGATAGCGAGGTCACTTCTCAAAGCCAGCTATATAGCTCAGTGGGCCTTAACTGGTAGAATACATTTTTAAAAAAAATAGTTCATATTCGTAAGCTTCATAGCTCATCCAATTCCTCCCTAGCCGAAATAAAAATTCCGATAAGATATATGGAAGGGTGACGTTGTAGGGGAGGATGAGCAAGGAGACGGAAGAGGATAAAGGAGGAGGTAGGGGTGGGGGATGCGGGAACAGACGAAGAAGAGACAGGGGGTGGGGTGTGTGTGTGTGGGATAAGGCGAGGCACTAATGATAGCTCGAATGCCCGTCTAGCAACGCGTGGCATGTTAAACACACACTCGCGCGTAAGCGTCTGTACGAGAACAGAGAGGAACAAGCGAGAGAGAGGGGAGCATGCAGACGTGAACTTAAGGGACCGGCGCGTGAGTCTGGTCTGGGTAGTGAGAACATTTTTTTTGACAGAGAGCGAGCGAGAGAGAGACGGAGAGAGACACAGAGAGAGAGAGAGACGGAGAGAGACCGAGAGAGAGAACGAGCAGAAAAAGCGACCAGGAAGAATTTTTCAAAAGGCAAATGTAAATACATACCTCAACAAGGGATACGGAGCGAGAGAAATTACAGGGTTCGCGCGTCTTAATAGGGGAGTCAGACGGCGGAGGGAGACAAAGGTGGCTTTGGTGTTGAAGGAGGCCCGAGACGAGGGGCGGTGATGGGGGCATAGTCGAGGGAGCGTCTGGGGGGGGGGGGGGGGGTGGTGAATGACTTCGGAGCTTGGTGGACTCAGCCGGCAGCCACGTCACCTTTTGTAGCAACAACACAAAAATGTTGGGATGTTAACTTTAAGAAGATGTAGGATGTCTGGAGCTCAATCTCCACCCCCCCCCCCCCCCCGAGCCTGTCCCTACAGAGTAGCTGTGCAGCGTCAACAGGCCGACCGCTTCAACCACACCCCCCCCCCCCCCCCCCCCCCCCATTTGGGTGATTGTTAATTGTTACATAATTAAATATGAAACGAAGACGCAGTTCTTAACAGTGTTTGAAAACATATATATGGTTTTAAGAGTATTAATAAATAAACAGACATTTATTTCCATGTCACCACACATATATACAAAAAATAAACGGTACATAATCAAGTTTTGTTTATTGGGATAGGCATACGTAAATTGTGTGGCCACATTTGTGCCGTTATTATCCTCTCAGCACCCGACCCGATGCAGCCACACATTAAATCGTCACCGCGTGTCAAGAAGTTCTTTGACACACAGTTGGCCAGATCGACACGTGGCCTCATAACTCTTACCCCACCCCCCACGCCCCCCTCCTGAAAAAAAATCAATAATCAATCAGAACATCGGCTGTGAAAACTTGTGCATGAAGTGATACAGAGCAACGTTGGGATACATGAGCCCCTTGGGACTTCTGGACCAAAAGGCCTTCCAGGTAGGCAATTTGTTTAAGTAGCAAATTTTGGAGCGTCTTCACATTTCAAGGGTCTCATCGGTGGAGACTGACCCACTGGTGTGGTTTAAAGTTTATTTTAGTTGTTGTTTAACCAGACGAGACCTCAAGAAAGCAGTGATGAGTTTCATTTGCAAGAGTGATATAGAGGAGTAGTGGTACACTATATATTTATATAAATACATATTTTTATGTAAATATATATTACACACCTCACTGGCTCTTGCTTTTCTGTTTCGTTGTAACTTATTATTTTCTTCATATTATTATTTTTGAGTACAGCGATTCCATCGTTGTGTGATGCATGTAAGGGGTACGGCTGGCGCAAGGGGACTGCTGTAATTACCCCTCTCTTAATATCTTTAGCATTATTGAACCGATACAAAATGTTTAGCCGGGTCCACAAACTGAGCAATCGGTTGCACGCAACTCGGTTGTACGCAATGCGCATTCGATTTGGTTGCATGGCACACTGGACGAACAATCCAGATTCCACTTTCAGAAATTGTCCCTTTCCACACGCCCCACGCCTCTGTCCACGCAGCAGTACAAATGGGTAAAATCACAGTGAGTCGCTTGTGGTGGGGACAAAGTTTGGGTACTTCCACCTCTGCGAAGACATTTGGCCCGCATGGAAGAGTCGGCCAAAAAATGCGTTCTCGGCTCAAACGGCCGAATGTGTCTCCCCAACGTCAACAAATAGAATCAAGCAACCAACGAATCAAATCAATCTCTGGAAAACTCCCTCTTCAGTGAAGGCCCTTTCGCCCGCAGTGGCACGAGCAAGCGGCCTGTGCCCGTTACCAACGAGAAGTGTCATCTCGAGAGAGAGAGACCAGGAGGCCACACACTGCTTGCGAGGTTGCACAGAGGTGACGCTCACTCCGCCTCCGCGTTGCGCGCAGAATGTCCACACGCGCCGTGATGCCTCCTCGTCACAGACGTGTCGGCACGTGTCGGCACGTGTCGTCACGTGTAAGCACGTGCCAGCACGTGTCGGAACGTGTCGGCACGCGATACATTTAGCGTGGATGGTGGAAGCCCCGAGAGGAGCGTCACACGGAGTAGAGATTTCACCCCGGCTCGCACTAAGGGTTCATGCCGGTTCAGCGAACCTCAGCCTCAATTATCCGAATTTAAGACGCGTTTTTCTTATACGTATTAATAATGTAATTAACTAATTGACCTCCAACCGTAATACAGTATACGATAGTAGGAGTGCTTTTAACCTGACGTGTTCCATGTTATTGAGTGATGCCAATATTATTGTAATGACGTAGAATCGTGAGACAGAACAATATATTAACACGTGTAATAATGTGTCCGTGTGTACTGTCGTCCGTTAGCCGTGTAAGATTCAGTGTAATCTGTGTGTGAATCCGTGTAATCTAAGTGATCTTTGTGCGCGAATGTCTATCTATATATATAACTACGCCAACACCCGTTCATATTATTGAACCGTAAAATCAATAATAACAATAGCAATATCAGTCGCAATAAAAATCAAGTTCAATGTTCAGCCCTTCGTCAATCCACTGCTGGATGAAGGCCCTAAAACCACACGTGCCCAAAACGGCCGTGGGTCATTGTTTTGTATGACCATACTTCACCAAGCTGGTCAGTGCTGACTGGTTAAAGGCTATGACCTAGCCTCGGGTCGGATAACACTCGCCAATGATGCAAAAGAGAGGAAGACCTCACAGAGAATGGCTTGACGACGAAATTGAGAGATCGGTGCCAGAAAGGTGTGGCCACTACTTGACCCATATTGGCACAGGGCAGAGAGGAAAGTTGAAACAAATCACGAAATGTGCAGTGGGCACCTACGGGGTTATCTGCCCCATGGATCGTGATGATGAATGATGTTAACCGTTGCCGGGAATTTAACTCAGGTGGCCGAGTTAATCGAGGATCGTGCTCACCCACTCGCCAAGTTGTGTGCGCGAAGATCTCAGTCGGCCACGCTCTCACTGAACGCGGCATCCCACGAAGAGGCTGAACGCTCGTAACTACCTCGTGCCAAAGACGGCGTGTGTCGTGATGCCGGTGGAGGTTCCGTGACAGGTTTAAAGGTGGCCACGAAGTCCACCTCGGGGTTTTTCCCAGTCGCTGGTGCGTGGCTTGTGCAGTTGTATTCATTGAGAAATATTGGAACCCGCTGCCAGTGGCTACACCAATCAGAACGTTCTCGCATCGAGTTCCATAGAGTCACAAAGGGGCCCACAGACTTGCTTAGATACCCATAGGCTCACATAGGAACCAGTAGACTTAGAGACTCATAGACTCACCAATCAGCACTTGCTCATATAGAGGCCAATAGACTCACACAGACACCAATAGATTCACATTGAGGCCCATAGACTCACAAAGATAGCGATAGACTCACATAGATACCCATACACTCACAAAGAAACCCATAGACTCACAAAGATAGCCATAGACACACCACATAGAGACCCAGAGAACGAACTTGGGTTGGCAGACGGTGGCTTCTTCATCGGCGCTTCCTCCACCAGACGGGCGCTGGGCAGCCCATGTAGCTTCTCCAGGAGAAAGTGGATCCCAGCACTGGTGCAGCCTGATCACCATCACCACCACCACCACCACCGCAGGTCGTCTTTGCGTTCCAACCCATCAGCGTGTCGTTAGTGTCGTCGGCTGAGGCTGGAAACCCCCCCTCGAGGTGGTGAACTCTGGCGAGAGCCTCCCTCGCCGCGGCTGACGAGCGTCCACGTGTGTACCGGTGAACTTGGCGAGGTGAACGCTCGGCGACATCTGAATAAAGCAAACTGTGTCATTTAACGAAGACCGCTCCCCACCCCCCGTCGTCGCGTGCTGTTTGACGATTCGTGTTTTTTTTTTCTCGCGGAGGGACATACTGATGATTATAATGACGATTTCAACTTTCGCTCACTCTCGCGGAGAGAGGGGGGAGAGAGAGAGAAAACGACTCAGAGGCAGCCAGGAGGAACCTAGGACAAGAGGGAGAGGCAGCATCAGCCACGCCAGGAGCCGGCGCCAACTATTGCCCAAGCTCTGCAGTCCTCGGTGTATGAATATGTTATCGGGCAAACTCACGAGCGTTTACATGTCGGAGGAAACCATAGCACCCGGAGAAAACTCACGCGTGCGAGGGGGGAACGCAATATATTTTTTTAATTTTACCAGGTAATGCCCACTGAGCTATGTAGCTATTTTCCAGAAGCGACCTGGCCACAAATTAGAAATCAAGTGGCTTATCACGGCACATTTATTGCAGCCGAATGCTCTAAACGCAAACTGATTATAAATGTGGAGGGAAAACACGGTCGGAATCGAACCTACGGCCTCCTGCATACCTGACGAAGTAGTAAACATCTCACCACCGTGACACCCTGGCCACAAGTTGCATTTTATTTATTTATCTGTATATTTATTTATCAATTACGATTTACCCTGTGAGCCATTCGGCTCTTCATTTGGGTTCAACCGCAACAAATAATACAATTACAAGATACACCTAAAATTAATTGTACACAAATCTAAACATCACATACGTAAACAATAAAATCCTACAGAAAAAGCACAACCCGTCCATGCTGCGTACAAACGATAGCTCAAAGAAGTGG